TAGTCTACTCTGATAATTGGAAGCAAATTAGTAAATATATTCCTATTTCTCATACTGTGTTAGAAAAGTTCTTGAATTTGAAGTGAAAAACAAAACACTGAACCTCTACCATGTTAGAAAATTGCTTTCAAGATTCTATTACTAACAGTTGACTGGAAATGATCTTATGGTAGAACCGAAACACAGTGTGCACTAACAAATAATAGTTACTAATTGCTTACATTGCTATAATCTTTCTAGGTGGCCTGTTCTGCTTAATTTAGCAATGTGAAATCAAATTATATTTTAAGGGATACATACAAAAAATGAACAGTGAGTTTATTTGTTCTCAAGATTCTAATTATAACTGATTTTCTGTGTCAAATGTTACAGGAAAAATGCTGAGGAATTTTATTTGTAAATCTGGTTTGTGGTTTTAGGCATATTTGGCATAGCTCATTTAGTAGAATTTACCTATAGTCTTGTAAAGCCTCTATATGGATAAAACATATATTACCATGCTAAGAAAGTTTATTGCCATACTAATTTTAGTTTACTTTAAAGCTTTATCACATATGTAAGAGAGTCTCTCACTGAGAGAAACATTCATGTCGAGTAATATCTAATTAACTTGGAATTAACTATTTAAAATATTACTAAAAGTCATTATAAAATATTCTGCTAACCTATAAATAAAAAATTGAAAATTTAAATGTATTTTAGAAAGAATCCAAATATATTCATAGAAGTACAACTTCATCTTTACTAATGTGCCATTTATTTATGACTAACAGAATAACTACAAAATAAAGGATAATTTCAAAAATATCCAAATATTATAGCATATTAACAGATATGGTAAGTCTCCTTATTATAAAAATATTATAATGTTTATTAAAAGAGTTTTTTTTAACTTTTATTTAATAAATATAAATTTCCAAAGTACAACTTATGCATTACAATAGCTTTTTCCCCCCTGTAATTTCCCTCCCACCCACAACCCTCCCCTCTCCCGCTCCCTCTGCCCTTCCATTCACATCAAGATTCATTTTCAATTCTCTTTATATACAGAAGATCAATTTAGCTTATATTAAATATAGCTTTCAACAGTTTACACCCACACAGAAACACAAAGTATAAAATACTGTTTGAGTACTAGTTATAGCATTAATTCACAATGTACAACACATTAAGGACAGAGATCCTACATGAGGATTAAGTGCACAGTGACTCCTGTTGTTGACTTAACAAAGTGACACTCTTGCCGACTCTGATCTTATTTAGACAAGATCATAGTCAAAGTGGAAGTTGTCTCCTGCCTTCAGAGAAAGGTACCTCCTTCTTTGATGGCCTGTTCTTTCCACTGGATCTCACTCACAGTGATCTTTCATTTAGGTGGTTTTTTTTTTTTTTTATCATTCTCAGTACGCCAGAGTGTCTTGGCTTTCCATGCCTAAAATAATCTCATGGGCTCTTCATCCAGGTCCGAATGCCTTAAGGGCTGATTCTGAGGCCAGAGTGCTGTTTAGGACATCTGCCATTCTATGGGTCTGCTGTGTATCCCTCTTCCCATGTTGGATTGTTCTCTCCTTTTTAATTCTATCAGTTAGTACTAACAGACACTAGTCTTGTTTATGTGATCCCTTTGACTTTTAGTCCTATCATTATGATCAATTGTGAACTGAAATTGATCACTGGGACTAGTGAGATGGCATTGGTACATGCCACCTTGATGGGATTGAATTGGAATCCCCTGGCACGTTTCTAACTCTACCATTTGGGGCAAGTCAGATTGAGCATCTCCCAAATTGTACATCTCCTTTTCAAAATATCTAACTGAGTCTTGAGAAAACAATCAAATATCACACAAGGGAATTTATGAACATGAATTAGCCCAGTGTTGGTTAGACATGGAGAAGCCAATTTCCAGAGAATGATGATCAGTCAGGTTTGAGACACATTGAGTTTGAGCTACCCAGAACACAATGAAATGAAGAATTTACATAACACTAAGACAGCAGCGGAGAGTATGACCTTTAGAGACAGGCTATCAGAGTTCAAATCCTGGCTCCACCAATTGTAAGTTGCATCACCTGGAGCAAGTTATAGAATGTGTCAGTGCCTAAATTATCCTCATCTAATCCTACCTCATAGATTAATTTAGTGATTAAAAAATTAACATTTATGAATTTCAGTGCCTAGAATATAGAAAGCAGAGTTTAAGTATTTGTTAAAAATATGGAGTTTGGCTGTTTAAAATGAGTTCCCTGGTGGCAGGGATTTGAAATTGATGCCTATAATGTGGTAGCTGAAGCTCTGGGACAATAAAGGATGAGAGTAACTAGGAATATCATACCCAGAGACAGGGTCCAATATGGAAACTCTGGGAGCATTACAGAAGCTACAGTTAGCAGAGTCAGCCAATGAAACAAAGAAATAAAAGACATAGGTAGGAGGAAGCTAAGGAGACTATGTTATCTCAAAGCCACAAAACTGAAGACCAGAAATGGGAATGGTCAACACCATCAAATGCCATGCAGAGATATTGAAATGTCTTTAAAGGATATGGTGTTTTGTGTTTATGTGTGTTTAAGATTTGATTTTTTGAAAAGCAGAGTGACAGAAAGAGGGAGAGACAGAGAGCAAGAAATATTTTTCATCTACTGATTCACTCCCCAAATGGTTGTAACAGTTGAGACTGGGCTAGGCCAGACCCAGGAGCCTGGAAGTCCATTCAAGCCTCACAAGTTGTGTGGTGGAGACTCAAGTTCTTGGTTCACCTTCTACTGCTTTCCCAAGCACATTACCAGGGAGTTCAATCAGAAGTAGAGCAGCCCAACTCAAACCAAACCAGAATTCGTGTGGGATACCAACAACACAGGCAACAGCTTAAGCCATTGTACCACAACACCAGCCACCCAGATTAGGCATTTTGAAAATCATGAGTTTTTTCTGGCACTGGGTTCAGGGGAGTGAGGGACTGGGATCTCAGACAGTGGGTTGACTAGTGGGAGTGAATGATTGTAGGCTGTTGGGAAAACTTGCTGGGAAGAGGACAGCAGCTAGAGATGGATAATGGATCAGGGAAGGAATCATTTTCTTTTTCCTTATTTTTTGTCTTATATGAGAGGGATTTCAATAGGGTCTCTGAGGAAGGTGATAGCATAAAGGAAGATAATGTAACCCTGATGGTGATGATAATGATGAGATACAGAACACAGGTAGATAGATTGCTCAGGCCAGGGAAAAGGATCTGCTTCTTTGATACCAAAAGAAGGGAGAAAAGACTCAGGCAAGTTTGGAAAGAGGAAACTGTAAGGGATATCTCATGATAACCATATCATCCTCTGCTAGCAAGCAACCAGTAGCTTATCATAGGCTGCTGAACTAGAGCGTAGATAAATGCCCATGTTGTTGAGATGTGCTGTGGCTTGAACATAATTTTTCCCTCTGAAGTCATGTAGGAGTTTACTACCCAAAGTCTTATATTAATTTAAAGGTGGAAACTTTTTCAGACTATAGTATTTAAGGGTGGGCCCTTTGGAAACTGAGTATATTAGATGAGGTTATTAGGGTGGGGCCCATGATTGAATCCTGGTGGATTCAAGGAGAGAGAGACACCATACATAGACATAGACATAGGCAGATGTCTCTGCCGCATCCATGATGTTGGGCAGGCATCAGGAGTTAAGAGGCTTGCAAATAAGCTCTGCCAAGCTGTCAGTACCTTGTACTTCTAGAACAATGAGACAAATAAATCTCTTTTCTTTATAAAGTAGACTGCTTCAAATATTTCATTATAGTAATGAAAATCTGACCAATACAGGAGGAAAACAAGCTTTGAGATTAGATGGTTAGAAGAGTTACTCACATCTACAGTGAGTGCCCTGGATGGCAGGCATTGCAGAGAAAAGTGAGAGAAGATGGCAGCAGTGAGTAGTGGTAGAGGGTGGCATAGTCAGAAAACATGAACTTGAAAGGAGGAAGGGTTTTGATCTGTAAGTGGAAATATCAGGACTTCGGGGATGGACTGTTTGTTCTCTGCTTCTTCCCCCACCAACCCACTTGTTACTCCCACTGACCCAGTGTGGAGCTCTACAGATTTGATGCCTAACTCCTGCACCATTCAGGCACCCTTCTAAGTAGTTTGTAGGTGAGTTAGCAAAAGAGAGTAATGAACAGGAGATTGGAGGGAAAGAGGACCAACAGGTTGCTGTATATATTCCCTGCTCACTCCTTTATCTTAGCACCAATTCTAGCAGCAGCTGAACCCTTGCAAGACTACATCACCCAAAGAGTAGCTCTTCCTCCTCATCCCACACTCCCAACAATTTCTGTAAACATGTTGCTTCCTCTTGCTTCGCTAGTCCTGTGGCTGGAAATGTTTTCCCATTTTTATTAATCGCTGCATATTTTAATAGTCTTTATTTCTACACCATGACCTGCTTCTCTGTAGGCAGCCATTTTAAGGGCTTTGAATTAGACAGGGCAAGATCATTGTCTTACCTGCTAGATCCCTCAGTGATAGAAGAGGAAGTGGTAGGTTTCTAAAAAGACAACCTCAGTGGCTGTCAGGGTGTGAAATAAATGGGGACCAGCATCTTCTTTCCACTGGTGGGAACTGCCTAGGAAGTGAAATCAAGGATCTGCTCCAGGAAAATCAGAGAAAAACTGTACACTAAACTGAACATCATTTGCTGAGGGGTAACCATATACAAGTTTTAGATTTCTATCTAAATTTGGAGATGAGAGAAACAGAGGGTAAGTTAAAGTGGTGACTCTAAGAAGAGAAAGCCAAGAAGAAGCAAACAGTGCAGCGTGGGTTAAAACTAAAGCAAAGAGGAGTGATATAACTGAGAAACATAAAGGAATAAGAGATATCAAATATTTGAAGAAAATTAACAACAGGTGGTCTTAATCTGTTATGGGGTGGGAACTGGAAATTGTCTATTTTGTTTATGATAGGCAAATTATTTCAGCCAGAAACCAGAGTTAATTTTCTCCTTTCTTTGTTTGCTCAGGTTTCCCAGCCAGCTAGTTATTGTGAAAAGCTGTTCCAATGTTTGCAGCCTCTTTATACTCAAGAATGACAACAGAATTGGATTTTGGATGCTGAATGACAGGATACAGCACAACAATAGAATGACATTCTTTGTGGTGAAACATAGGAAAGATGTGAGAGTTACCAGTTTGCTTTCTTTTTAAAAAAAACAGTTGGCAAATGTTTATTTTAAATTCTTATATTTTAAAGAAATAAAATATCAGTTATAAAGTTAAGTATTTCACATTCTCTTTCCTTCTCATCTAATGCTTTTATTCATTGTGTATCATTTAAGTTTGTGTTTTTAATGCTTTTAATACACATTTAAATATTAAGAACAAAGCATTACTCTTTAAATTTCACAGAAATGATTTCATATTACATGTATTATATTTTATATTCAATTCTAAATCTATTCTACTTTGAGGGGGTTAGTTATCCAGGTTGATGTCCACAGTTCATGACTATTGGATTTATTTGCTGTGTACAGCCTTTGTCAACTATGGTTCTTCAATTTAATCACAGAATCCAGGACAAAGATTTGAGTCGTTGTTATCCAAACAAAAGGAGGGTACACAACTAGAAGCATGTCAGATGTATAGGAAGCAGTTACTTCATTACGTGTAGTCACTTTTTTAGGCCACTGAGGTTAAACCTCTCCCTGACCTTCACCCAAAAAAGTCTTGCTATTGAATCACTACTCTACATTTTGCTTATTCATTCTACTGAAAACATTTAAATGCCTCCAAAATGCTATTTGAACAAACAACATATCCTACTACATAAATTCAAGAGGTTCTCAAGGATATAAATCTAGAGATTAAATTGCTGAATTATGGCTACATTTTTAACTTGCAAAATTGTTTTTCAATGTAATTGTGCCAAGTTATACTCTGTTAGCTATACAGAGAGCTCATATTCCTCTCATTTTTACTAACCTTGCAAACTGTCCAACTTCAATTCTGTCAATTTGCTGGATGTGAAATTGCATGTTAGATTAATTTTCTTTGATAATTCAGAAGATAAGCATTGTTGTATGTTTGTTGAATACACAGGTTTCCTTTTCTAAGAATTTCCTAATCATATCTGCTGTTCTTCTTTCCATTGTGTTTTTAATCATTTTTTGTAGGACATTCATGCACCAACTTTTTAATTAATACCAATTTTTTGGCTATTATACAAGTTTCAAATATCTTCTCTTAGTTTGTCTTATATTTTCACTCTGTTTAGGATATTCTTTTGCATAACAGAAGGTTTATATTTTATTTAATTCAATTTATCAATTTTTTCTTTATGGGATATGGTTTTTATATCATGTCTAAAAAATATTTCCCTCACATAAGGTCATAAAGATAACCTTACATATTATCCCTTAAAGTTTTTCTAAGGGTATGCATTTGTGTACTTAGTATAAGGAAGAGATTTATTTTTCCTAGAAGATGGCTACTTCTTACTTGAAATGTTTATTTAGTGGGACATTAACCCTTTGGCTATAAAGTAAATTAGAAATATGTTATCACAAAAATTAAAAAAATAAAGGAAGAAAGGGAGACAGAGGGAGAGAGAGTGAGAGGAAGGAAGGGTAGTACCATTATATTCTTAGAATTGTATCCGTTAACTCCTTTAAATGTTTTCTTTATGTTAATAAAAATGTTTAAAAAGAAGATGATTGATCCAAGATGGCTGAATACTGTGTAGGCACATCAGTTTAACTGCTCTGGCATATGAAAAGAACAAAGGAAGGACTACGATTCCAGAGACCTCACTGATGAAACTTTCAGCAAAAGAATTGAAGAAACAGCTATGACTCTGTGGAACAGGAAGAGAGAGAGGACAGGGACATCCTGACAGCCTGCCATGTGGCACAGCAAGCTGCCAGCTGTGAGCCACTATCATGCCAGGATGATAGGAAGAAATTGTAATGTACATTGTGCTCCCTGCCGCTTGCAGTTTTAACTCAGAGGAAACTCCACAGTCACCACTGACTTTTTAAAAAATATATTTATTTGAGGCCGGCGCCGCGGCTCAATAGGCTAATCCTCTGCTTTGTGGTACCGGCACCCCGGGTTCTAGTCCCGGTTGGGGCGCCGGATTCTGTCCTGGTTGCCCCTCTTCCAGGCCAGCTCTCTGCTGTGGCCCGGGAAGGCAGTGGAGGATGGCCCAAGTGCTTGGGCCCTGCACCCCATGGGAGACCAGGAGAAGCACCTGGCTCCTGCCATCGGATCAGCACGGTGCGTTGGCCACAGCGCGCTGGCCGCGGCAGCCATTGGAGGGTGAACCAATGGCAAAGGAAGACCTTTCTCTCTGTCTCTCTCTCACTGTCCACTCTGCCTGTCAAAAAATAAAAATAAAAAAATAAAAATAAAATATACTTATTTGAAAGTCAGAGTTACACAGAGAGAGAAGGGGAGTCAGAGAGAGAGGTCTTCCATCCACTGGTTCACTCCCCAGTTGGCCTCAAAGACCAGAGCTGTGCAGATGTGAAGCCAGGAGCCTGGAGCCTCTTCCGGGTCTCCCACATGGTGTGGGGCCCCAAGTACTTGGGCCATCTTCTACTACTTTCCCAGGCCAGAGCTGGATCAGAAGTGGAGCAGTTGGCTGGCGCCGCGGCTCACTAGGCTAATCCTCCACCTGCAGCGCCGGTTGGGGCGCCGGATTCTGTCCCGGTTGCTCCTCTTCCAGTCCAGCTCTCTTCTGTGGCCTGGGAAGGCAGTGGAGGATGGCCCAGTCCTTGAGCACTGTACCACATGGGAGACCTGGGAGACCGGGGAAAGCACCTGGCTCCTGGCTTTGATCGGTGCAGTGCGCTGGCCACAACGTGCCAGTCATAGTGGCCACTTGGGGCGTGAACCAACAGAAAAAGGAAGACCTTTCTCTCTGTCTCTCTCTCACTATCTAACTCTGCATATCAAAAAGAAAAAGAAAAAAGAAGTGGAGCAGCTGGGACTTGAACAGGTGCCCATCTTGGATGCTGGCACTGCAGGCAGCAGCTTTACCCTCTACGCCAGAGCACTGGCCCCACCCACTGACTTTTACTTCAGCTTGGGGACCTGACTGAGGTCTGAGCTACTGCCAGGCTTGGAGCAGGAAATCTGACCTGCTTCTTCCCCTGTCCCATTCCTGTAGAGCACCATACTTCACAGGCAAAAGTCAGGCAGTGCTCCTCTGTTCTACTCCTACCAGTATCATAATCAATATCAGGAGAAGATGCCATCTTCTTAAACAGAAATGAGAAGAGACCGCTGCAGCAAGTGTTGCTGGTAATATTACCTGCAAGACAATCTGGAGGACCACATGGACTTTGAATGTGACATAGAGTGCTAGTGGGTGGCAGGATGCCCACCTAAACCTGTGGAGCAAGAACACATTGCCTGCTTCCCTTCTCCCCAGCAAGGGGTCCCAGGGAATAGAAAGGAAGAAACACCATCTTACAAGAAGAGTACAAGTCTGCAACTCACAGGCATGTGACCAGGGGATTTTGTGTAAGAGATAAATCTGGATCCCCACTGACTTTAAGTCTGGGCTGGAGGGTTGGCAAACAGTAGGGTGCCCACTTGTGACTGTGAGGCAATGTGCTCCCCTCTATGTCACCAGTGCCTGTACTCAAACTGCCAAGGCAAAACACTAACAGGCAGGTGGCTCTGGGAATGTCTCGGCTGTCTCCATGGACAGAAAAGACTTGCAGGACTGAGAGTGGATCATCTGCTCCCTGTGACTGTGGAAACCCTGTGCACTATGACCATGAGAACTTTTTGACTGTACTGTAAGGTGTGGAGTGTAGCTGAGTCCTTGGGCAATCACTCTGGCTGCAGAGGCTAAGATTTCACTAAGTACCTGTAATGGTTCATTGCAGAATGTTCCATGATCACACTGAGGACTGCACAGATTCTTTGTGTGGTTCTAGCAAATGCATGGATACGGTATGTAGCTACTGTGGGCTCATCAATCACTTGGCAGAGAAGAGGTGAGGCAGTGATCACTCTAGCCAATGTGATCATATCCTCTGCCCTTCTAAGAGCAGAGACCTGCCATACCCCACGTGGGTATCACCCTGGACCATTGTATTATACCCAAGCACTGATTGGAGCTCCTTACCCCCAACTCCGAAAATCCACTGAAGGAGCAGACACTCCACTAAACTATAGAGGCATATTTCAACACTAAAAGCCATCAGAGGGGAAAACTAACAAGTAGTTCCATTAATTCCCGAAAATATATAAACACAAGAGTTATAAACAAGGAAGACAATATGACTAACCAAAAGGAACACAAAAAACCTCCAATGTTAGAGTGTGAAGATGAAGATAAATGAAATGCCTGAAAAGGAATTCAAAAGAATGATTGTATGATTACTCAACAGCAATGACAAGCAAATTCATGCATTAAAGAACTCCATACATGACATGGATAAAAATTTTCCTTGAAGATAGAGATATTGAAGAGGAATCACACTGAAATGTTAAAAATGAAGAATTCACTATGTCAAATAAAAAAAAACACCACAGAAAACCTTAACAACAGACTTGGTGATGCAGAAGAAAGAATATCTGAACTAGAAGACAAATCTTTGGATATATCTCTGTCAGACAGAAAAAAAGAAGAAGAAATTAGAAAAATTAAAAACAGTGCTTAAGATTTATAGGATACTACCAAAAGACCCAATATATGGGTCATAGGAGGTCCTGAAGGTGTGGAAAGAGAGAATGGAATAGACAGCTTATTAAGTGAAATAATAACAGAAAACTTCCCTCATTTGGAGAAAGAAAATAGATGTCCAAATACAGGAGGCACATAAAACTCCTAATAACATGACAAGAAGAGATCTTCACAATGAGATATGGTAGGGAAACTTTCAGCAGTAAAACACAAGGAAAAGATTCTAAAATGTGCATGAGAGAAATGCAAGATTACCTTCAGTGGATCTGCAATTATATTGACAAGTGATTCCTCATCAGCAACCCTCAGACTAGGAGATAATGGAGAGACATAGTCCAAGTCATGAAAGAAAATTCTATCAACCCATAATACTGTAACTTTCAAATCTCTCATTTATGAGTGAAATTGAAATAAAGATCTTCCATAACAGAAATTGAAATAATTTGTCACCACTCTTCTAGTCTTACAAATGATGCTT